ATATATGCATCTCAGTCGAATTAAGCGATTTCATCGAATTGGGTTAGGGCGATAAAAATGGGATTGGGTTTAGGGATAAGCAGAGTCGATATCATCTCAATCGAATTAAACGATTTCATAGAATTGGGTTAGGGTTGCGATAAAAATGGGATTGGGAATTAAACGATTTCATCGATTGGGATTAGGGTTGCGATAGATAAAAATAGGATTGGAAATTAGGTAGTGTTTGGTACACAGACTGGATGGGACGGGACGGGACAGGACTAATTGTCTGTCCCATGTTTGGTACAACTAGGACAGGACAGGACAAAACTGTTAAAATGACCGTATTACCTTTAAATGTAGTTTAATTTTATTTTGTATCATATAATGATTTAAAATGACAACAAATCAACCAAAATATATTTTAATTACATAGTTTTGATAATCAAGTTTAATACATTAAATATAAATCCAAAAAAATTGACAAGTTCTTATAATCAAGTTTAATACATATTAGAAACAGAGGCTGATTAACATCTACCCACAGGTATATTAAAAAAAGAGTGTGATTAACAGTTTCATATCACACATATTCTACCCACAATCTACCAAAAGAAATCGATGCCAACAGAAATCGACCCAGAGGGGATTTTGTTAGGGTTTACAAAAATCTACCAAAAGAAATCGATGCCAAACACTACCCAAAAGAGAAATCGATGCCAAACAAAAGAGAAATCGATGCCAGGAAAAGAGAAATCGATACAGCAAAAGAGAAATCGATACAGCAAAATCGATTAAAATGAAATCGATACAGCAAAAAAAAATCGACGCAAATGAAATTCATACCGATATGGAAGGCGCCGGTGGAAGGAGGCGGTGGCGCCGGTGCGGCGTGGAAGGAGGCGGGTAGAAGGAGACGGGTGGAAGGAGGCGATGGTGAACTGGTGTGGGTGTGAAAGAGACGAGGGCAAAGGAGGGCGGTAAGGTAGTAAATTTACTTTTAGTCTCATGTTATTTCACTTTTTGGTAAAATAAAAATTATCAACTTTTGTCCCATCAAATTTAAAAATAATCTCATTTTGTCTCATGTAATTTTTGTCCATGACATACTAAATATGAGACTATTTTTTTTTTGTCCCGTCCCATTTTAGAGACGATAAAATAGGATTGGGTTAGTGGAGAAAAAAATGGGATTGGGTTTAAGAGTGGGTGGTTAGGATAGTATGTTTTAGTAGGTTGTACTTAAAACAATATAAGTTGTTGTTAAGAGTTTAAGAGTTTGAGCCAAATGCATTATAAGATAGTATAGATAATATTTTATAAAGATAATAGTTAAGTATTCTGTTAGAACTTAATGATTATCTTAATTATATTTTTATATTTAAAATAAGATGTTTATCTTGTATTTGATTATATTTATACGCAATTAGTTACACGAATTCAGATATGGAGCTTTAATAAGTTGTACTTACGCATAATCTATATTTGTAATATTGAGTTTTAAGTAATATGCATTAATAAACTATATTTTACGCATAAAAAGTAGTTTTTAAAAGTTTTTGTCAAATGCTTTATAATATAGTGTAAATTTTTTTTTTATAATTTAATTTAAGTTTAATAATGAAATAATTTATTTTTGGTTTAATAATATAATATTTTATAAAGATAATAATTAAGTATTCTATTAGAACTCAATGATTATCCTAATTATATTTTAGATTTTTTATATTTAAAATGAGATGTTTATCTTGTATTTGATTGTGTTTATCTGCAATCAGTTACACGAATTCAGATATGTAGCTTTAATAAGTTGTACATACGCACAATTTACTTGTAATTTTGAGTTTTAATTCATATGCATTAATAAACAGTACTTTACGCATAGAA